GAAGGGAGGAGGCAGGCAGCGGCTGAAGCTCCCGAGCCCGTTGCCCTTACTGAAACCTGTTCCAAGTGGTCCCTGCAGTCCTCCCTCAGAGAGGAGGAGGTAAGGGGGGACTGAGAGGCCTAGACTGCTACTCCGGGGTCTCCCTCCACATGGACGCTAACACTGGGAGTGGGAAATGAGTAACCCCTTGCTGGGAACAGCCCTCTGTACTGCACTCTTCATTTATTTGCTCACTTCCTCACCGGGCCGTGGGGTCCTTGAAGCTGAGGATCCACCAGCACTAGCATGGGGCCTGCCAGACAGGAACTGTCCCGAAAGGGGAGGAATGAATTAACTCTCATCTTCTAATGCCAGGATTTGATTAAAAGAGCCCCTTCCCAAGGCAGAGAAGGATGCCTTTTCTTATCTTACCAGTCTCCCAGTACCCAAAACCAAGCCTTTAGCGTGCTTTCCAAGCCCTGTCCTTTTCTGTACCGTGGCAGGTTAGACAGGGGGTGAGGGGTTGCCAGAGGACTCGGGAAATGTTTTCCCCAGGCTGCATTGTTCCTCCCACCCTGCCCAGGCCGACCCCTGGCTGTGAGCAGGTGACGGAACCTGTGAGTGCTGTGTGGGTGGGGCAGCCCGCAGCCCTGGGCTGGCTGCCCCGTTAGTGACGGATGCTAACGCCTACTGTACCACCTCGGTGAGAATCACTGAGAGCAGCCTTACGAAGTCACTTTGGGAAATGGGAAGTGCTTTGTGGAAACTGGGAAGTACAGTGGAATCTGTGGGAATGTGCTAGAGGAAATTCATGGCAGTGAAGTAGTAAAGGATGACCCAGACTCCCCCAGGCTGACGGAGGAGGACGGCGGTGCCTCTGTACATGTTCGCTGGTGGTACCCCAGATGTCCGCTTGTGCCGTAAAATTGTAAGGTGTGTCCCAATGGGGGCTAGAGTCCCACATTGGCCCACAAAGCCTGTAGTACTTACCACATAATAATATTTACATTATAGTTACTAAATTCTAGGAATGCACTATACACATCAAATCTATTATCTCAATTCTTTACAATAACTCACCGAAAGAAAATTGTCCCCCTTTGTAGGAGAAACTGAGATTTATCAAGATCAAATTACTTGTCCAAGGTCACACAGCTAGTGAGTGCCAGAGCCAGCCCACAGTCGGGGCTCATAAACTCCACACTGTATTGTCACTCTTGCGGGGCGTCGAGGTTAGGGTAAGCCTGCAGAGATGGGGAGTTTGGAGAGACAACAAATCTTTTATCAAGATCATTTGTAAAGTCACCTGCCTCTGGGTCACCCTTACCGAGAGAGAGAGGAGTAGCGTCCCCACTTCTAGCTCTTTCGGAGCTCCAGAGCAAGATCAGTGCCAGCCTAGAAGTGCCAGTCTTGTCTTCAGAGATTCTGGATGAATGAAGCGAGTAGGATCCTGATGGTCTGAGGCACGGGATTCTCTAGGGTGCTGCCTTCAGCTTTGGAAGCCCTGGGCTCTAGGCTACTAGTTTAATGGGGTTAACAAACCAGCAAAGGCTGGCTCTCTGCCGGGGCTAGAAGTGGATCAGTTTTGAGAAATGTTTTAGTGCAACCATGTGCCTGACACCTGTAGTCACTCGGGATTTCATAAATGTATGAGGATACTTGAAAAGTGCAAATACCAGGACGAGCAGTTGGATATCCAATGTAGGGAGATCCCTTTTCTGCCATTTTTACCCACACCCACTTCTACAGATTTCCTGGACAGGGGACTAAGAGAACAAGAGACTTAAGGTTCCAAGTAAAGGAGAAAAACTAAGCAAGAGTTAGGTTTGGTGAATGATCGAAGTGCTGCTCTTTCCCTTTGGGACTTGTTATTGCTCTGTGGCTGTGATCTGTGTCAGTAATTCTCCCTGGATGAGGCTTGGGGAAATGGTTTTGGTTCTGTCATAGACTCTCCAGTGCCAACTTCTTTTCCTAGCAGGTCTGTCCCCAGCCCATGCCCTCCCCCAGCTCTGGCTTCCCAGACCATTGGGTGTCAAGGTCATTACTATCCACTGCGCATTTATTGGGTGTCAAGCAGGCACTAAGCTCTTGACCTTCATCATCTTATTTGTCCTCACAGCAGAGGAGGGCTATCATAAGGCCACCATTCCCTGACCCCACCACACACCTGTCTCACCGCCAGTCTCACCTCAGCTCTGTTTCCTTCCTGGCCCTTTTAACCCTTAATTAAAAGGGGTATTAGTCTCCCCTTCTCAGTGTTCCAGTCCCAGCGATATAGCCCTGGAATAGCACACATCTTGGGGCATTGTGATAATTGGTCCTTATGTGTACCATTCTTGCATTCGACTCATGTTTATTGGGTACCTCCTGTGTGTTGTCTGTTGTCCCCACTGGACTTGGAAATCCTTTAGGGCAAGAGACCACTCCTTGTTCTTGCTTGTTGTGCATTCCCAGCACACAGCACTGTGCCTGGTTCATAGTAGATCCTCGGGAAATGTTCGCTAAGAGAAGGCCTCTAGGTGGTGTCTAGTCGTAGAACAGTCTTCTTTCAGTCCTTCCAACCAACCCCAGACACTGGGGAATAGGAAACCTGTCCCTTAGTTCTTAGCTTAATAGGGAAACACAGCTATGATTCTGGATGCTTAACTCTTGTTGATCCCCCTAAGTGGAGGAATCTAAGCTGCAGTTAGTCCCAAAGAGTCATTAAGGCCCACATCATTCATTATGTTTTGTGGGTATATTCATTTATTCTTTCCGTAGGTGTTGAGCATTCTGCAGGTACCAGGCTCTATGATGGGAGCTAGAGCCGCAAAGATGAATAACACACACACACACACACACACACACACCCCATGACCACAAGGAGATCAGTCAACTAGATGATTAGCAGACTAGATAGAAAGATGGTGAATCAAGGTCCAAACGGGTTAAGTAAGTACCATGGGTGCAGTTCACTGAGAGCCCTACAAGGGGGATTTTTAGGAGGAGGTAAGATCAGGGAAAGCTGCCTAGAGAAGATGACATTGGAGCTGGGCCTTAAAGGAGAATAGGATCAGGGCCTGAGAAAGTAGGTGGCAAAATTTTCCCCACAAGCAAAGACATAGAAGTAGGAGGGTATGTTTTGGGGCAGCACAAATGTCATTCAGATAATTAATTTGTCTAGTAATTGGCAGGGGTGAGACAGGTGTAACTCTTACTACGATGAACATATCACTACAACGGTCTTTTTTCCTTCTCCCTACCCCTCCCTTCTCAAGCCTAAAAAATAGTTCTGCTGGGTTATAACCTGAAAGACTTTGTTCTTTAAAGGATGGGGTAGGAGAGGCTTATGTAGAGTGATGCTCTGTCCAAGCAGTCACATGAGACTCTCGGTCCTTCAGCCCCCACTCCCCGAGGACGGGCCATGTAAAGGTCCCTTTGCATGTCAGCCCTGTGCTGGGAAAGAGCTTACAGAGGCCACCCCTGAGTTGCTGGAAGGGGTAGATATTGCAGATAGGCTGACTCGCTCCATCAGCAGGAGGAGACCAGTGGGCCAGATTCATCACTCACATCATTTTATCTGTGGAGTCAACATCTATTTTTCAGTGTGGAACCCATAAAGGGACCCAGCATTTCTGTCCTGGAGAGGGAAAGAGTGCCAAGGGTGAGGGGTCTGCTCAGCCTTCGTTCCTCTTTGCTAGATCCACCACCAGACCCATTCTCAGATGCAAGGTCAGCTTCACTGCCTGAGGTTAGTTCTTGGGATGACGAGGGTCCAGTTTAACACGTACACTTTCTTCTGTACACATGTATGTGCACAGTACACACGCATACACACACTCGCTCACCCCTGTAGTCTTAGCAGGCCTTGTAAATTGGTTATATGAATTAAATAAAACTCGCAACTGAAAAATGCTCAGGCATATAGGTCCCTTCCTGTCTAACATTGTCAGATGTGCTCTGAAATGACTGTTTTCATCATCTATTCTGAGCCATAACTGCCCCAGAAATAGCTTTAGCAGGAAAGTGCTTTTGTTAGACTAGCTGTAAATTATATTTCAAATGTCTGATGTTGTTTTCTTAAAAAATAAATAAATAAGTAAATGAAAGTCTAAAATTAATGACTGCTGGGGTTTGCTTTGCTTATGTGTACTGCTACAGATTTGGCTTCTTGCAGATGGAATTTCAGATCTGTTTACACTTCTGTGTTAGCTTTTTGGGGGAAAAAAAGCAGTTGAGAGATCTGGGAGGACAAATTTACAAAGTCGAACTTATTATAACCATCCGTGAGGCTCGCTTCTCTCTCCCCCTGCCCTCTCCCTCCCTCCTTTACCCCCTGCCCTCATTTTGTTGATTGTGGCTTTATCTGGTCCTCCTCAAAGTTAGATGGCAACTGCCTCTTGCAGATGTTATGACAAGGTCACAGATCCAGTTTCACAAGCAGATGTTCATGAAGCCCCATTTCACCGGCACTTTGTCTTGCGAGAGCAGACCTTGTGAGAGCAGATTGGAACAACACAAAGGATGGGACATAAAAAATCTTGCAGAGAACCTGATCACTTTAATGTGTTGGAGACGAAGGGCTTGGGGGTGGGGAGGGTGGCAAGGAGAGAATCTGCAGAGCAGAAATTCGTGGAGGGTTTTTTTTTTTTTTTTTTTTTTGGTTTATTCAAAGATTATTATGTGTTGGATACAGTAAATCATCTATACACCCACATGCAGGAGGTAAATCTTCAGAACTCCATGCGTGGGTAGTTCTGCATTTAACAGCCGCCATACAGTAGCTATTTTGTTCTGCACTTAGAGACCCTTATCTGTGCATTTGTTTTAAGTTATCGGCAACTCTCCTTTTGTTCCTCTATTACTGTTCTCCTGATTCTCACTACTATTACAAGAGTAGCTAAGAATCTGAACTACTGAGTTATTTAAACTGACACCACGAGTTAGAATGATAGACGAGGGGCTGCCATCTCAGTGGTTGACTCAGCCTCTACTTGGAGGGTGTTGCTATAATGGATTTAGCTCCTCTTGCCTTTTCTTAGGTCTCATATGCCCGTCCGAGCTCTGCCTCAATCAGGGATGCTAACCTCTACGTTAGCGGCCTTCCCAAAACGATGACCCAGAAGGAACTGGAGCAGCTTTTCTCGCAATATGGCCGTATCATCACCTCTCGAATCCTGGTTGATCAAGTCACAGGTTAAGTGTTTCTTTGTCATTTCTTTCCTTGTGTCTCAATGCCACAGCTAGAGCCCTGTGACCCATAGGAGCAGAGAGATAATGGTTACTTAGGGTAAAGGATGTGGGTCATGCGTACACAGATTTTTGACTTAGGAGAAAGACTTCTTATCATTCAAATGCCCACATTTAAAATGGGCTGTCTTAGGAGGTAGATCTCCATCATGGGAACTGTTCCAGCAGCAGCTAAACTACTTGGCAGGGCTGTAAAGAGGATTCAGGCATTAGGTTGTGAGTGGGACTGAATGACCTTCAAAGTCTCTTTCAACCCTCAACCAAGTAACATTACTTCTGTATGTGAAAAGAACCTGTATTAGAGCTCGGCTCCAATGATAGCATGATAGAGCTAGAGGGAACCTCATGCTGCCTCAGTTCACACATGAGAAAAGAGAGGTCCAAAGTGGGGGATCTGACTTCTGCCCAGCTAGTTAGTAGCAGTGCAGGGACATGAAGCCAGGGCCTGGTACTGTGGTACTTTGTCCATCATAAAGAAAGGCAACCACCACCTCTCAGTAAGAAATGTAAGCCACCCTGGGTTGCATTTTTAATGACAAAATGTTTTCACCTACTCCACATTTGATCCCAATTTAAAACACCCCCCGAGAGCAGTTTAGCATGTGTTTATCATTCAACTCATGTGACAAACCCTTACTGAAGCCAGCTCTGCCCCCAGCCACCGCAGAGGGACCCTGCCGGGGATGAAGGAGGCATAGGCCTGCCCTTGCAGGACTCCAGTGTGATGTGCACCTTCGGGGGCTGTCCCATGTCCCCATGTGCTGTGCCCAGCCAGGATTGTTGTGAGGGCTCCGTCAAGGAGGTGATGTTTGAGCAGGGTTTTGGAGGATGACTTGCAGTTATCTGGCACAAAGGAGGGATAGAGAATTCTAGGTGGGTATGACGTATCCTGTAGAATAGGTGGAGAGGACATATCGTAAGGCATGGATTCGAGGAAGAACACAACCAGTTCCAGGAATGTGTGGCAGATCAAGTATGGCTGGCCTGAGGCTCCACGGGGGACTTGGGGTCACATCATCAGGGGCATTAAATGCCATGCTAATAAGTCTGACTCCATCTCTATGCAACATGGAGCCACGGAAGGGTTTTGTGTGTGTGTGTGGTGGAGGGGGTTGTTACTCTGTGTGTGGAGTGGGGGGCAATGAGGAACAGGTACCATGCACAGGGTAAATTGAAAAGTTAGGAAAAATGTATAAAGGATGTTTTTAAAGGGTATCATGTGGTCAGAGTTCGCTTGTCAAATAGATTATGTAGTCACTAGGTGTGGAGGGCGCATTGTAGGACTAGAAACTGGACAGTGGGTGATGGGTTACAGCAACTAGAGGGAGACAAGGACTGAGCGGGCCGGTTTTAGAGGCTGGAATGGATGTGAGAGGTGCCTGTGTTCTGTGGGTGGGAGTCACCTGTCCAGAGCCATGATAGCAGAAACATAGGCAGATGCATTTTGATGGGTGAGAGAGATGCAGGGAGCCAGGCTCAGCCTTGGCCCCACCAATGGGCTGACTCCCCACAGAATATCCCTGGGGCCCTGCCCATCTCTTCCCAGAGATGTTTAACCAGTTTGGTTTGTTCACTCTTTATGAAGGCTCTTTCTCTTTCCCTAGGAGTGTCCAGAGGGGTGGGATTCATCCGGTTTGACAAGAGAATCGAGGCAGAAGAAGCCATCAAAGGGCTGAATGGCCAGAAGCCCAGCGGTGCTACGGAACCGATTACTGTGAAGTTTGCCAACAACCCCAGCCAAAAGTCCAGCCAGGCCCTGTTGTCCCAGCTCTACCAGTCCCCCAACCGGCGCTACCCTGGCCCACTTCACCACCAGGCCCAGAGGTTCAGGTAGGCACACCCACGGGGGAAAGGGCCCTGCTACACGAGTGCAGAGCTGGGCGAGGGCCAGGGAAACCCACAGCCCTGAAAGATGGGGCAAGTGTTAAGAACCTCCGCCCCCAGGAGTCACTGTGTGAACCTCCCCACCTGGCCTCAGTTTCCACTGCTGTACCATGAAATGGTTGGACCAGATGCTCTTCCAAGCCCCCTTTCAACTTACCGCTGTGACTGTGGTTAAACTTCAGGTTCTTGGATTAAAACAAAATTCCTACATTTAACCAAACCAGAAGATTCCAACGGGAGTTCATCACAAATAAGTGACCACATTCAACAGCTTAGACTTAAGGCTGAGGGAGTGGCTTTCAATAAAGTCAAAGAAAAGTGTAGGCCAGGAGGCAGATCCTTGTCAGGGAGAGTGGTTTGGCCTGTGCTCCTTTTTTCTGCAGGAAACTCTGTAGCATAGGTATTCCCTTGTGTGTTAACTTCACTCTGACTGTTAAGTCAGCAGATTCTGGGAAGACAAGAAGAAAGATTTTCCTAAGTCTTATTAACGTTTCCTTCAGGCACCCAACCCTCCCAGTGCAATGGGGCACTTCCCTTCTCCTGGGACATTTCTGAAAGGCAGGTTTCACTTCATGAGGGCAGTCCAAACTTGACTGCCTTTATTGTACAAGAGATAAGAACATTCTTGACCTACCCATAATAATTCTAAATAATTCTTTGATTCCACCCATGTCCCAACTGCTCTTTAATGAAAGGGTTTTTGTTTTTGTTTTTTTTTCCCTCATTTTCAAACATCACATGGAAAGATAGTAGGCCCTCCATCTGGCCATGAGGAGGAGGAAAATCAGCCTCAGTAGCGTCCTCCCATGTCCTGGGAATTTGAAAGGGTTAATGATTTCATGAAGAGTCCAAGTCATCTAATTTTTATTTTGTGTGAGAGCACATGCAGTATTTATGTAAAAAGCCTTTCCAGCAGGTTTCTAATGGTGGAAACTATGGTTACTACTGCCCCATGGTGTGAATAGCTTGTCCCCAAGTAAAATACTGAACATGAGGGAGATTATAACATAATGGCAATTTGCTAGGAGGAGCTTTCAGGTTGTAAATAGTAAGCTAATTGTAAAAAATCTTAACCCCTAAACTCCTCCTTCCCCCCAAAAATGTGTGTGGTAAGATTTAGTTAATGTAGCTAGACTAAGAGAAAAGATCCATTCTGATATGCATTGTGCATGCACGTGTATTCCTTTCATTCACAAGTTTAATTGCAATAAAAGGTGAATTGTAATAAAAGGTGAATGACTTAAGAAGCTGCCCCCTTTTAACAGCTTCACACACAATATAAAATGAAATCCACACAAATGTTCTGAGAGGAGCGGGGAGTGGGATTAATTCAGACCTTGAAAGAAAGGGAGCTTCATTAGACACTTGCTTTAAACTCTAGCATTGACCTGAACATGAATTACTCATAGTTGGAGGCAGAAAAGGGGGAAACTACCAGTGGATAGACTCCTAAGCATTGGGGAAAGTTGTTGAGCTTTTCTTCTTTGAAAATGGAGCATTCTTATTAATAGTTCCATTGAGCGATCTTGCCATCTGTGAGGCATTAACCCAGAGACCCTCCTTCTCTTTGCAGGCTGGACAATTTGCTTAATATGGCCTATGGCGTAAAGAGGTAATTAAAACTCCACAGATTGCCAGATGTCCGTGTTGGCACAGACTGGGGCTAGAAATTTTTTTTTTTTAATTCACTAACTTTACTTTTTTTTTTTTTAATTCTTCTTTTTTCCTCCACCAGCATGTCAGATTCTTAATTTTAATTTCAGACCTCAGTTGGTTTTGTTTCTTTTAGGGCACACAAAGTGTGTTTGTGTGTTTCACTTTTTCTTTTATTTGCAGGTGGGCTTCTCCTATGGTTCAGGTGCCACAGCTACCAAGCCCTTGATAATCTGGTTCTCTGGACAGCTCCCCTAAGGGAGAAGGCTCCTACTCTTTCCAGCTGATTTTGCAAACTTGCACAGCAACTGTTTTGCATTAGCAATGCCAAGATTCAGTTAAGAGGGCAGATTCCAGCAAATCAAAATTAGAACATTTTGCTAATCATGGTTGACAATCTTATGATTGGAAAAATTAGATTTTGGACTACCAGCCCTGGCCACAGCATGAATAAACGTGTGGATGACCTGCTGACTCCCACCCCCACCTCAGTGTGCATTTCAGGGCACAGCCTGAGAACGAAGTGTATCTGTGTGCACCTCAACCAGGAGTTTCTTTTGTTACAGGTTTTAACAGTTCCTATAAATTCTCCCTTGGTTATACATGTATTATGTTTTAAACTTGCGGTTTCTTTCATGTAAAGCCTTTCTGTGGGGTTGGGGGCTCAAATAGAATCAAGGTTTGTGGGGCTCTCTGAATGCAGTCACAAGAGTGATCCAGACCTAGCCTGAAAGCTGAATCTCGGGAAGTTGAGTGCGTTATGTCACTGTGTCCATGAGAGTCCCATATGTGCTTTTGATAAGCTCCACTGAGCTGCTCGGGACATAGCATCTTCATCATCCTGCTCAGTAGAGCTGCACACTTTAATTCCCCTTCGTACAGTCAGGCAAAGAGATGTGGTCTCTAATAGTCCCAGTCACACTCCCAGTGCTCTCACCACTTGGCCACGCATGGTAAGTACCCCGACTCTGGAAACCGGCACACAGTGGAGGGAGTAGTTGGCCTGCCGGCTTCGCTGGCCAGTCTCAAGCCTGGCGCCAGTGACGATAACTGGGAATTACTTCCATGTGTCGGCACACTGCTTGCCTCTTCCCACTCCCGCTTTTACATTTTTCCCACCTCTGGCCTCTGCCCCCGTCTACCTTCAGGGAGGCGGCACCAAGTATGGACCAAGTGTGGAGTGATGCTTATGCGTGCTGAGGCCAGAGAAGGCACAGCTGCAGCCTCGCTAGTCAGTAAGAGCATCTCTTCTCCTATTAGACCCAGCTTTGGGGCCGGACTCCGTCCTATCGAAGCGCTCCAGGTAGCCATTACCAACCAGAGTGGAGACTCTGCTTGAAACCTCTTTGCTGGCTCCTGACTTTGGCCTTAAAATAAATACCTTGCTGTTCTCTACCTTTAAACTGGAAGGAATCAGTTCACTCAGTTGGAGGAGAGAAGGTTGAGAAGACAGTCTTCAGAAATAATGCAAATAAATCGTAGACATGGATTTGCCCTCCTAAGATACCTTACCATGATGTTTATTCGTTTTGTCTTGTTACTTGTTTTTAAACAAGAGAGAAGATCAACTTAGTGAATAATGCCAAAATAGTACCTGTTGAGTTGTTATGTTTAGCATATCTTCAGCAGCCATTTGATTATCTAAATTCTAGATGCAGAACTGTTCTTTCCTAGGACTTTCAAATCTCCAAGAATATTTGCTTATTTTTTAAAACGCCCTAGGGGCACCTGGGCGGCTCAGTTAAGCGTCTGACTCTTGATTTTGGCTCAGGTCATGATCTCAGGGTTGTGAAATCGAGCCCCACACATCGGGCTACGCTCTGGGCATGGAGCCTCCTTAGGAGTCTCTCTGTACCTCTGCCCCTCCCCCCCTCTAAAAACCAGAAACCAAACCAAAACAATAACAAAAAGTCCTAGATCACACTTTATCCCATTCTCTCTCCAGTTTTTTCTTCCTCTCCTCCTCCCTTTCTTCAGAAATAAAACACCAAAACCTAACCACATGAAAACCAAGACACTAGTCAATGGGTAGGGCCCAAATGCCTGTCTATGTTTGGTATAAAACAAAATGTTAACAAATATTTTTCTGCTGTAGGCACTGGTAACCTAATCCGATGCATCCATTATGAATTACACATGGATATATTTTATCAGGCAGTGAATAGCATTTGAAGGGTTGTTTTTCCTTTCAAGATAACATGAAAACCGAGATTTCAAAGCCTACTACAAAAGTAGTTGTAATAGGGCAAATAACAGTTTTCAGCTTTTCTAATTTAAGACATATAAATGCACAAACCACTTGAAATCTCATTCCTGTGATGCTTAGAAATGAATTCCAGATAATATAGCATCAAGGAGTGATACGTCTTTATTATTATTGCTTGGGAGTTTGGGGGGAACTCCTTTGAATAGATGCTAAATGAAACATGAGCCACCCATCTGATTAATAACAAGGTATATCTGTTCATTCTCATGTGTCTCTCTTCTCAAAATATCAAGAGATCTTTGACAACCATAAGTCAGGGGACTGCAAAGATGGTAGACGTGAGCACTCCTAGGGCCATCCTCTAATCTGCCTTAAAAAATAAATAAAATTTCCCAAGCATTGATATCCACCAATGTTATTCACTTATGCAATCAATAAGTATTTATTGAGTATTTCCTCTGTGTTACTGTGTCTGTGATATTCCCATATGTGCCCCACTGAATAAAAAATAACTAGAGCAACAGGATAAATGAAATAGAGCCCCTCCTCCCAAGAGCTTCTTGTCTGTTGTGGGGGGAGGGAGGCTAAGGGTCAGGGTGGAGGACCCTATGACCACATACCATGGTAGAAGTATGATAGAGCCCTGCTCTGGGAGTTCCTTATGGTTATTAGGAATTGACCTAGCCTTTCTCTTGGCATATCCAGACCTTAGCCAGTGTAGCCATTCCATTCAGAAAAAAATGCCACAGACATTACTTTTTGCATTTTGGTTTTTAAACCCTGAAGACTCTCCTGCAAACACTCACTCAGCCCTCTGCCCCATGTCTGTGTCTGTGCATCTGTGTGTTATCCGTGGTCAGACTGATGTCTGGACCAGTCCCCCCTTCTGCCTGTCCCCCCAGGTTCTCCCCAATCACCATCGACGGGATGACAAGCCTTGTGGGAATGAACATCCCTGGTCACACGGGAACAGGCTGGTGCATCTTTGTCTACAACCTGTCCCCTGATTCCGACGAGAGTGTCCTCTGGCAGCTCTTTGGCCCCTTCGGCGCAGTGAACAACGTCAAGGTCATCCGCGACTTCAACACCAACAAGTGCAAGGGATTCGGCTTTGTCACCATGACCAACTATGACGAGGCGGCCATGGCCATTGCCAGCCTCAACGGGTACCGCCTAGGAGACCGAGTGTTGCAAGTTTCCTTTAAAACCAACAAAGCCCACAAGTCCTGAATTTCCCATCCTTACTTATTAAAATATATATATAAATATATACGAACAAAACACACGTGCGCACACACACACACACACTCACACATAGACGCACACGCAAAAGAGAGAGAAACAAACTTTTCGAGGCTTATATTCAACCATGGACTTTATAAGCCAGTGTTGCCTAAGTATTAAAACATTGGATTATCCTGAGGTGTACCAGGAAAGGATTTTATAATGCTTAGAAAAAAAGAAAAAAAATACAAAAAAATACCTTTGATGCATTGAATGTTCTTTCATAGCTGTCGTTGTTGAATATAATATACATAGATAGCGATGTGCAGGGATTTTAACCCAGCCAGCTAACTTTACTACCTTCCTTGAAGGTGGGTCTTTTTAAGATGACCATTCGCTCATTTGAAGAAGAAAAACAAAAAACAAAAAAAAAATAATAAAAATAAAACAATTTTTACAAAGTAATGGGATTCAAAGAAAGAAAAAAAAAGATTTTTCTTTTTTGTCAAAAAAGTTGATCCAATCAGATTGGTAAAAAAAAAACCCCACACAAATTAAAGAGGAATAATAAAAATTGCAAAAATGAAAAAAAAAAACTTTTACAAATTTTTTTATTTTTCCTTTTTTCTTTTATATCATGTGAACTAAAAACAGTCTTCTGTTAGGGGATGGGGGCAAGGGGGATACCTGATGACATTAACAATTTAATAACATTAACATTGTTGCCAAAGAGGTGGTCTCTTTGCTGAAAATGGGTTTCAAGAAAAATCTATTTTTATAAAATATAAAGAATTTTTACAAGAGAATCTGGATTTGAGAAAAAAATATTTTGACTGGCTAATTTAGGGGAAATTGACAACTTTGTCGCGTTCATACTGCACTGGTAACTTTTTAGAGATCAAGATGTGTGTTTTAAACTGGATTCGTAGACTGTTTTTTGAAGGATGGGCTATAAACAGATGATCTTCATATCTTTTCATAGCATGTAATAATAATAAAAAAAATTATTAATTACTAGGGGAAAGGAGTGTTCGTTCTACCCAGGGTACCACAGTTCCCCACAGTCAAAACCCAAAAGCAAGGAGATGAGTTGAAAGACAGTTTTTCTTTAAGTCATCAGTATGGGATGTCAGCAGAACAAAAATTAAAAAGATTAATTTTCCTTTTGATCTAAAACTTCCTTAGTTTGAGCAGTAGGTGCTACGAAATTATTTACATATCTTAGTATCATAGTTAAATGTAATGTGTTTAGGAGAGGAAAACAAAAGATACATTTGCTTTAAATTCATTAAGGAATTTTCAAATTCACTTTGTAGCCCATGCTGATAGAATTGGGCTGTGTTGGTACATTTGAAACACTGTTTATGTTGCTTGAAACACTTATTTATTTAATCGCCGATGTGATGATGCCTATGGCCGAGATCAAATATAGCTAGATTGGCTAGACTACTTATTTGTTTACTTAAACTATGGGAAGAAGCATATTATTGTGTCATTCTGTTGTGTGTGTATGTGTATATACAATATAAATATATATATATAAAGTTATTTTTTCTTTGGGTTAATTTATTATAAGTTGTAACACTTGGCTAGTTTTGTTTGTATATGTCTTAAAATGTTTTCTTATGATATTTAAGTGACAGTTAAAGAGGTATCAAGGTAACTTGTGTAGAACTATTGTTTGATATATTGTCATGTTTGTTGTGAATATTTTTTCTTACTGCACAGTAGAAAAATAAAAACAACTGGGTCTTTATTTTAATGTAATTCAGATTGGGGAAAACAAAACAGAGCTAAGGGAACAAAATGACTGAGGGAGCATTCTCCCACGTCCAGTGCACTGATCATTTTAGTATGTTTGTGCTTTGTACGGTTATATATTTAAAACAAAACAAAAAAATACAAGGGTTCATGCTCTTCCCTGGGTAATAGAAACAGTTACTCGCTATGCATAATCTAGTTGATAGTTAAATTTGCTATTGCTTTTCTTGTCTTGTTATATAAAATCTTTTCAATACAAGTTTAGTCTTAATGGTAATAAAACGTTATGGTTATTTATAACTTGTGCTTATTTTGTGCGTTTTTTCTCATGCTGAACCCACTAAGTGCATGTAGACAGAACTGTTGTTTTCACACCGAAGAGGCAAACTCTGTAGTAGTAGTCGTAGTGGTAGACAGATAACGAAAACCAAGGCTGCATCATAGACTCCTCCTTTAAATTTTTTTTCTATTTTTTTTTCCTCTTTTCGGTTTTGAAAAAAAGTAAATAAATAAAACACCAGATTTCAGTTCAGAGAACACTCGTTCAACATTCAGGGAAAACTTTCTACATCACCTGCTATGAATGAACGCAGTTTGCTGGCAAAGTTTTGATGCATTTGCTAAGCATTAGTGGGAAAGGCATGCCAAATCTCTTCTCTATAATGTGTTCACTCTTGGGGGAAAAAAAAAGGAAAAAAAATCTTAGGACCAGGCAGTTGTATACTTTAGTTATAATGAATGACTTCATGTTAATCTTGCTAGTTTAGATGATTTCTGAGGGAAAGTATTGTAAATGTTTTTTTTTTCATAATCTCGTTGTGTTTGAATTATTTGTACTTTATCTGTCCAGACAATAAATGAAAGTGTGTAGAATGGATTTGAGCTTCCCAGATTTTTAAATGTGTTCATTCAAACTTTTTTTGTAGCATCTTCAGATTTCCCCAATAATTTTATCATTAAACACACACACACACACACACAAAGGGTAGAGTAAAATTGTGTTTTGCAACTTAGCCCAGTCTCTCAAAGTCAATTCAGTATTCAAAAGTCATTCCCCTAGTTCCATACGACTAAAATTGTGGGCTCCAGCCGGCAGTACCCGCATCATCTGGGAGCTTGTTAAAATGCCCAATCTCGGGCTGAATGCAAATCTATATTTAACCAGATCCCCAGGTGAATCACTGGTACTTTAAAGTAAGGAACACTGCCCTGATTGATAACAAGCTGGCACGTTTGGCATTAGGGTACATTCATGTCTGTTATTCATTTATACGCATATCTGTGACTTATTCAGAAGAAAGGAAGTCACTATTTGCAGAGCATCTTGTCAGGCTGTGTGGTGTCCTCTACATTCTCTCACTTTGTTCTCCAGCCATCTGGGAGAAGTGGATAGCACTATCCTCATTTCACAGATGGCAAGACTGAGGCACAATGAGATTAAGTAACTTGAAACAGCTAGCAAGCTTCCACCTGGGATTTGAATCCCAGTCTGATTTTACTGCACAGCACTTCATCCTTGAGATTGTAGAGCTTGAGTGGTAGTAAGGAAACAGACCATTTGCATTGGAAGTGACAGCTAAACAAGAAAGGTCACCTTTTTATTTTAGCATTCATTTTTGTGTAGAAGTCAGCAAATATTTGACTTTCTTACCTTTGAGTAGAAACCCTAAGCAAAGGACTTATACAGTGTATAAAAAAAACATGGATTTTAAGCTCAACTGAGAGGGAGGACAAAATGCCTAAGGTATCATGAAGTCATATTAAAATATGCCCTGAACTTTACAGATGAGCTTTTTAGTGATTTCCTGATACGATCACTCATTGATGATCTACTGTCTGTCTTTTGTTTCCATTTTCTCACTAATTGAAAATTCATAATACCCCATAAACCATCACCATCCATAAACTGACACTGGCAGAAGAAATGCTCCCACTGAGCCAGATGAAGGAATAGTCAGATTCTCTTCCATTTCTCATTAGCCCCTTTTTTTATTATTATATTAAATTACCTCAGTGGTTGGGATAATTAAATTCAGGGCAAAGAATGGGATTTTAATTAACCAAGCTAAATATTAAAACTAAGTCAGCCTGAACTTCACATAGTTGAACTTAAAGGTTCTTATTTTAGCTTTATTTAAAGACAAGCCCCTATGTTCCTTTTCTGAAGAAAAATGGGCAAACTCGTAGCTGCCTCCAGAAACAGCAGAGCCTCACAAACGTGAGCATAAGGGTCTAAAAATGTTAACCGCTAAACCTACAAGAGTTATCACTAATCAGCACCACCCCTGATCCTTAAAGGTGTCATTTTAGTGCACTTTCAACAAATGGATACGTTATTTTGGAGTATTAGAAGTTTGTGGAATCATCTTACCAGTTCATAGGGTTCACTCCCCAGCTTTCAACAGATCTATCCTGAAAGTTTCACAAATGGCCGTAGGTGTTTAAATAGGTCTGTAAAATATCTGTAACAGGCCATTCTACATACACTCTCTTGGCAACACTTCCCAGCATCAGCGTAACATGTCTGCCTAACATCTAATAAAAAAATTCATCTTGCGAGTGTAAGCCTGTTACCTTAAATCTCCAGGCAAACATTATATAGTTTCTGTAGGTGTTTGTGGGAAGGTTTTAACGAATCACAAGAATGCAGAGATTATTACATTTCTTTTAGGTCCTAGGTACATTATGTTTTGCTTGGATGAAAAATTGCATGCCAGGGATGGCTGAAGGCATTTACTTAGTGTTATTTCTGTCAAACTGATAGGAAGAAAAGAGAGCAAAAAACCATGTGCTTGTGTTTGTAACCATCCCACATCATTGCCACCAGCATCCGAACTACCTGCGTCTGATAAGGAAGATCAAACAGTAACCAAATGTGAGTTGCAGCCAGAATATTTTATCAACTTGGCTCCTGTTTAAATTTCTTTCATCAAGATCAGTCATTATTTGTTCATTTATAAATAAAACATGTAAATCCCAGAGAACAACGTTTAAAAGTGCATTTGAAACTCACAAAGTCTCATGGGGCTCCTAGGCAGTCAGTATTTGTGTCTGGCTACTTTAACCTTGTCAAAATTTGGCACTTAATCGCCCTTCACCATAGGTGATTCCGGAAACAGTTCTTCAAATTGTTTTGCCCTTACTTTCTGTGGGCACTATGCGTTTCGTTCTTTAACAGACATACACAAGCAAACACACAGAGGTGAGCATTTGTACAACTGACTAGGAAATGGGGTGTTTTACTTTCACTTGTAAATTCAAAAATCATACCTGACAAGACATCATTAACAGCAAAAGAGTGTTTTCTAAATGGAAGAGTCATTAAAATCTTAATTTGAGGCCATCCTGCCTGGATCCATTCCACAGCCTCAAGAAGAGCTCATGGAACACAGCTTTATAATATCCCTGCACCCTCCACTGCCTTTGTTCTCCTGGAAAAGAGAATAATAAAAGGAAATTACATTTTATTTCCATAAGCTAAAATCAAGTTTTAATATTGTCCAAAAATGACTCATACCATTCCTTTATCTTATTAGCTTTTTGGCATATTAAGTAATAAGATAATTTCTCATGGTACAGTATTTATGTAAGAATCATATTTCTCTCTGTGCAGATCACTTACAGAAGTGTCTGTTAACAGGAGAGAGTGATGCATAATCGGCACTTAAGATTAAAATAGACCTGAGAACAAAAAAGTGTTCCTTCAATTAAAGGAATAGCATTTCTTCAGCCTCATCTTTTTTGTTTCTGCAGCAGAATGAAAACTGGCTTAAAATCACCCAACCCCAGGTTAATTACAGGAAGGTTTCCCAATGTAAGTCCAGCTTAATCTACTACTGGTTCAAATGCAAAGTAGACTCACATGCCACTCCAGGATACCATGTAATTATTTTAAACAGTTCCCACCAAAGTCCTTGAGGTTTAAGAGATTATTTCTAGAAAGAGCAGTAGCATTTATTATCTTTCCGATATGCCAGGCACTATACATTTAGCATTTGGTCCTCCTACAAACGCGGTTAGGAGTAGCAGCCTCCTTTTACATAGAGCAAAAAGAGACTCGGAGAGATTTGTTATCTTGTGCAAGCAGGTGTAAAAACAGAATTCAAACCCAGGTCTGCCTGACCCCAAAGCCCCCAGTTTATACCACCCTGGCTATGAGCCAATTCTATCATACTTAGAGCCAAAATAATTACCAAATCGTCCTTACTACAATTAAAGGTAGAGATGAGTCCTGTTATGTAGGGAACAAGGGAAATAACATTAATGCATTGTGCCTGGGCTAATCCCCAAATCTTTAATGGGAAAACAGATCCAATAACATTGGTTTCCCAGCAAATTGGCAAGCAAAAGCTAAAAATGAGAGTTTTTAAATACTGATGAGCAATAGTGTTTAAAAATGAAAATTCCATTGACAAGTCTATTTAAACCACCAAAAGTCAGTAAGGTAGAAAGGAGTTGAGGATAGGACCAAAAGGTAAGAAACGTTTACAAGCCAACTCAGCCACCCTTGGAGCTGGTCCTCCAAGTCTCCCTACAAGATGAAGGCACTGTGTGAACAGTATCACCATGATGAGAGCTCCTTTCGCTATCTGTATTGCCTCTGAATCCTCAGAACATTCCTAGGAGGCACTAGTATAATCCCTATTTTACATCTGAGAAAACAGGCTCAGAGACGTTCAGTATCTCGCCCGAGGTGTCACAGCATGTCGCAGAATTGGAATTTACACCCACGTTGTCTGGCTCCAGTGCAATGTCTTTCCACTAAACCACACCGATGGCCCTTCAGTGGAATACCACCATTTGTTGCACGCCCACCTACCTGTGAGGTCTGGCACGCTGCGGGTGGGAGACCTAGCCTATGCCTTGTCTACACTAGAATCCTTCCTCTGGGCACCTGCCACATGCCAGGCACTGAGTTCGGGGACACGGCGATAAACAAACATACTCAGCACTTTTTTCTTCAGCCTGTTTTGTGCATGGCACTGTGCAGTGGGTAATGACAGGAAACAAACAAGCAAAGGAAAGGAAATTTAGACTTTTGTCACAAAGACAAGGTACACGAAACAATTATTTAGCCATGCCAGGTAGTTTCTGTGCTGGAAAGAGAATTACAGGAAATTTTGAAAATTTGCAGGGAGTGGGCGCCTGGGTGGCTCAGTTGGTTAAGCCACTGCCTTCGGCTCAGGTCATGATCCTGGAGTCCCTGGATCGAGTCCCGCATCGGGCTCCCTGCTCGACAGGGAGCCTGCTTCTCCCTCTGACCCTCCCCCCTCTCATGTGCTCTCTCTGTCTCAAATAAATAAATAAAATCTTTAAAAAAAAATTTAAAAAAAGAAAATTTGCAGGGAGTGAAACAGTATTTTGGTACTCAACAGAAGGAGAGTGTGGCCTGGTAGAAGGACAACAAGCTCTAGTGAAAGAAAGTTCTAGGTTTGGATCCCTAGGTAAATCATTTCATGTCTCTGAGATTCCTGGTCAGATAAGGATAAGAGATAAAACATGTCAAGTTCCTGGCCCTTGATGAAGAGTACAGTTGACCCTTGAACAACATGGGGCCTAGGGGCACCGACCACCACATAGTCAAAAATCCATATATAATTTTCAACTCCCCAAAAACTTCAGTACTAGAAGCCTTATCAATAACACACAGTTGATTAACACATATTTCATATGTTACATGCCTTATCTACTATATTTTTACAATAAAATAAGCCAGAGAAAAGAAAATGTTATTAAGAAAATCATAAGAAAAATAAAATACAGTGCTATAAAAAATCCATGTATAAGTGGACACTCACAGTTCAAACTTCTGCTGTTCAAGGGTCAACAGGGGTAGG